AGTCGCGTATAATATTACAAGATCAGATTAGTTTGCTGACTTACCTGCTAATTGCACGTCATATTGAGACCAAGTTTTCTTTCTTTTTTTAATTTATTGTATGTCGTATATCGTCGTCGTGAACAGCATGTAAAATGTTGTGATAAAAGCTATCATTCGATATACCATACTTCCCCGTCTATCACACTGTCAGAGTACTTTGTCGTCTAACTATTCGGTCTTCAGTTTTGTCATGACGTTTGAACTCCGTTTAATTGTGCCCTATGATGTTCCGTCACATGTGGAAACACTTTTCGCGGCATTTCGTTCCCGTTTCGCTACATAGCAAAAACTAAAGGCGATTGCATTTCCCACCTCCTTAAGTCATCTATTTCTACAATATAAACAAAATGGTAGTCGATTGATATGGTTGATATACTTTCACTAATATAATGTTGATTTTAAATAAAATAAAGCAGTGTTTCACAGCTTCAATTTAGGTGGGCAATTGTAACACTTAAAACATGAGTCAAATAATGACGCTTCAGTGGTAATTAAACACAAGTTATTCACCTTATTAGAAATCAGTATCATCAAAATGATTTATATTTGCCTTCAGATTTGAAAGCCTCAAAATATCATATCCTTGATTATCGTTTATTTTAAGCTTAGATAATAAAAGGTAAATTGAAATGTTTTGGGTGATCTGTACTCTACATTCACCTCTCTCAAGTAACTAAAACATTTGAAATATATAGTTATCAGGTCTTCTGACACTGTTAATTCTCCCCCTTTTAGGCTCTTAGACCACCTCCTCCAAGAGTGTGATATGGAGCACCTGTCAAACATCCAGAGTGTGACCGGCGGGCGCTGGCGTCACTCAAGATCCTACTGTGAAAAAAGCCAAATGCTTAGCACAAAGAAATGCAACTTATAGTGTGTAAACTATTATTGAATCAATGAATGTCATGCTTGTTTTTAACTGGAACTTTTATGAATAAAATTTTATTTATTTGTACAGCCTTTTTTGTGTAAATTGCGCATATTTTGTATCGTAATGATTTTTAAATGATTTGCTCATCAGTTCTAAGGCAATACTTTTTACGGAGACAAAATTACTAAGCTTAAGTCTTTACATTGTTTCTGTAAAATTACTACTTTCCACTGATGAAATTCTTTTCTACTTTTTTATGCAGTGTCAACAAGCAGCTCAAGCAATACTGTACTTTGTAACACTTTTTATGATGCACTTTCAACAGATATTATCAAATATAAAAGCTTAAAACACACAAAAATGTCTGTTTTGTATGTATTAAAACCTGCTGTACTGTGAATGCAACATTAATACATAATAGAAATACAGTGGCCAGGAGAGCTTAACATGCTGCAATTTAAGAAGAGATCTTTAGGGAAGATTTTCATCGGTTTAACAGCACAAGTCTTGCGAATCCTCACAATGCATAAACATAAAAAACATGCTGCATTTTCTCACAACGCAAACAAATTAATAAAATGTGCTGTTTGCATTATGAGGAAAATGCAGTGCATTGTGCATCCAGAAAGTGTTCATAGCTCTTCATTTTTTTTTTTTGTCACAGCCTTATTCCAAAATTTATTAAAGTCATTTATTTCCTTAAAATTCGACACACAATACCCCATAATGACCAAAAAAATAATAATAATAATTAAAAAAAATTGAAATTGTTTCAAATTTATTTAAAAAAAAAAACTGAAAAATCACATGTACGCAAGTATTCACAGCCTTTGCTAAATACTTTGTTGATTACCCTTTGGCAGCAATTATTAATTAATCCTTAAGTCTTTTTGAATATGATGCCACAAGCTTCAGTCTTTGGGAGGTTTTGCCCATTCCTCTTTGCAGTACCTTTCAAGCTCTATCAGGTTAGATGGAAAGCGACGGTATACAGCCATTTTCAGATCTCTCCAGAGATGTTCAATAGGATTTAGGTCTGGGCTCTGGCTGGGCCAATCAAGGACATTCACAGAGTTGTTCTGAAGCCACTCCATTGATATTTTGGTGGTGTGCTTTGGGTCATTGTCCTGCTTGGTGATAAGTGGTGCCTGGTTTTCTCCAAACATAAAGCCTGGCATTCACTCCATTCAGTTCAATTTTTTTTTATCTCAAAAGACCAAAGAATTTTGTTTCTTATGTTTTGAGAGTCCTTCAGGCGCCTTTTGGCAAATTCCAAGCAGGGAGTGTCTTCCGTCTGGCCACTCTACCATACAGGCCTGATTAGTGAATTGCTGCACATGGTTGTTCTTCTGTAAGGTTCTCCTCTCTCCACAGAAGAACCCTGGAGCTCAGACAGAGTGACCATCAGGTTATTGATCACCTCCCTGGCTAAGGCCTTTCTACACCGATCACTCAGCTTAGATGGTTGGCCAACTCTAGGAAGAGTCCTGGTGGTTCCAAACATCTTCCACTTATGATGGAGGCCACTGTGCTCATTAGAACTTTTGGAGCAGCAGAATTTTTTCTGTAAACTTCCCCAGCCTTGAGCCTCGAGACAATCCTGTCTCGGAGATCTACAGACGATTCCTTTGTCTTCATGCTTGGTTTGTGCTTTGACATGCACTGTTAACCCTGGGACCTTATATAGACAGGTGTATGGCTTTTCAAATCATGTCCAATCAACTGAAATTACCACAGGTGAACAGAGTGTGCTGTCAAAGTGATGAAGATCTTTTTTTTTAATTTGCTGGTGTTTTTTTGTAATTTGCATGCGTTTTTTAAAAATGCGGCACATTAAGCTCTCTCGACTACTGTATAGAAATGTATTTGCTTGTTAAATCATTCAAGTGAATGGTGAATTTTTCCAAAGAAAATATGACCAAGCATGAGGTCCACAGTATTTCAGTTTTTATTTGTTTTCTTAACTGATACATCTACAGAATATCAAGAATTTATGGTGGCCTCGCATTACAAGTACTTGACGAAGGGATTGTTCAATGAAATCCCCATATTGTAATTATAATTATGCTATTAATGTGCATAAACAACATCTCTATACATTCCCACAGATGTGTGCCAGGGACTTAATTGAGTCTCTGAGCCTGCGAAGGCTTAATACTCAACATTTCAGCTCTTTAACACTCAGGCTGAATGCAAAACAGAAACTTAAGAGATTCAAACTTCCCCTTCCCTCCTCTAGAACTTAAGGTTGCCATTAAACAACAAGCAGGCCACACCCTGTTAAACCATTCAAGGAAAACCGTAAACTGATCCCAGCTCAGCTGCTTCATTTCAGTCCGCTCACTGGAATCAGTTAAAATACATGCAAATAAATGTAGCAAATTTTCCCTTTAGCGCTCACAGACATACTGCACTGATTTAATCCTGCAAAACACACACACACACACGCACACACACAAACACTTCAGGAAATGCTGTATGTCAAAAGGTTGCACTGGAATCACATATTTATTTCTGTTAAAAGCTGTGAATTCATACACCTAAAGAGGAGCACAACATATTGGCCATATCATTAGATTTAAATGCTTTAGTACTGAAATAGTGCTGTAAAATGAGTCTCATATAAAGAACCGGTCTTGTATTAAAAACAAAAGTCAAAATAAAACACATTTTACAAAATTTTTAAATGCTTCCACACAAATGACCTGATAAATGTGGTGGGTTGCTCGTGTGCATAGCATCAGACATTCAACACCATGACTAAAGCCGCTGCTCTAGCTAAAAAAATCAACTAAAACATCGCATTGAAATGCAGTTTCTTTATAATCTCTTGAAATTCTGTATCTGGACGTTAGGTGGAGACAAACCACAACTTCCTCTAAACAAGCAGCAGCCACACAAAAAAAGAGAAACAAATAAATCCCTTCCACAATACCTCACGTAGTGTTACAGCTCAAACACATTTATCAAACTCGGCATGCTTTGTTAACGTCTCAAGCGCAAACCAGATAAAATTGATATAATCTGTACGAGCATTTTCTCAGTGGAAGCTGAATACTTTTGCAGTAAATGACAGTCTGGAGAACATTCTTTTAAGAAATAAGACTTCCTGCTTCGACGTTATGTATTAGGTGTTCTCTATGTACAACCACTTGCATTTAGTGCAATTGTTTTCCCCATTACCTTCCCGCCCTATCCTAAAATGGGGTCGGTTAGAGCTCTGGCAAATAACTTATCACAACACAAAAAAAAAAAAAAAAAAAAAAAAAAAAAAAAAAAAAAAAGAGAGAGAAGACTTTGGCTTTTAAGTCAATCAAAGCAACTTCACACATCCCACATTGGCTGTTACATGTGTACAAGAGCTTATAGGCATACTAACAGATTCAACTGTATATATAGATATTAACAAATAAAACAGTTTGCATGCCAATCTCGTCTAGCATTTTAAGAAACAGGCAAAAACGAATTGAGGGAAAAAAAAGAGTCTCTTCTTGAAGGCTTGTCAAATGACAGCTCTGAAAACCCAAAAATAACTTCCAAAAGAGATGCAGAAGTTACGTTTTGTGATTGTGACAGTGATTTCATAAGACTTGCTTTGTTTTTTAGTCCTTTCCCCACTCACAAATAGAATCAAACAACTTCTATTTAAGATCAATGTTATGGCTACTTACATCTGGCAAGACTCGAGTGCTGTATTTCGAAAAAAAGACATTTATAAATGCTATGGAAAAACAAAAAACACGGAAGCAGCTAATATTTAGTCAAAATTTAGCTTGAAACTGAGTAATATTAAAAGAGTTTTACTTTTTTATAGATATAAAATAGTTTCAATTGAACTTGCAGTATAACGTCTTTCCCTTAGGTTTGTTTTGCGCTAATAAATCCCTTACAGACATATTTATTGATAAACATGCATCAATATATTCAACCAAACCATCCCTTGCCAAATACATCATGACATATAATAATAAAAACTGGGATTAACTAGATTTCAAAGCATCTTAAACTCCATTCTCAAGTTATGAACTGTAGTTGCGGTTTAAAGGTTGACACATTGTGACTGTATACCTGTTTTTTTTTTCTTTTTGCACTTCCAATGTTCACTCGTTTTTAAAATGTTGCTATCTCAAGTACATCTAATACGCTTCATTTAATAAATAAAATCTCATGTTTGTACTTAGTTATAAGTGTTTTCTCTCTCTCTCTCTCTGATTGTGGAATGATTCCTCTCCACATCCCAGGCCACATCTCCTCTGCAGGATCCGGCAGTTGAAGGGTCTGTCTCATGGAGAACGTGGCAGAAAAAGAGAAAATCCTATGGAGGAGAGGAAAAGTGCAAAATCTCCCCTTACACATTCCCGTCAGTGCCGTTCTTCTCGTTGGCAGCGTTAACTGTGGTACCGTCAGGTTTCTGGCCGTCCTTCCGAGGCGGCATTCGTTCGTTTATTCGGTCCAGGCCACGAGCTTCTTCGAAGTTGCGGATTTTCCGTGTTGGAGAGAAGCCTTGGATGGCTACCGGAGGAAAAAATAACACGGAAAACGAGATAGTTAGGCAAATGTGCATGACGCTTATTGCTAATTTTCTAATCAAAAATGTTTTCACTATTTTAAAATGTGATTGTATCAGTGCTCAGAACTACTAAGCTTAATATCATTGCTGAAAATCGCTGTAGCTTAAAGGGGTCATGAACTGAAAATTCTAAATTCCCTGTCAACAGGTGATTGAGTAAGTTGGAGTACTCAAAATAGTATTAAAAAAAGCTGAAAAAAGCCAAGAAAAAAAAAATCGGATTACACTTCTAAGCTTCTAATGTCACTGGTTTACACAATCAATGCATTTTTTTTTCAGCATGTCACAATTTATAAAATATTAGCCTCTACCAAATGGTTGATATGTTGGTTTATGGTAAAAATACTTATTAAATATAATGTGAAAATCTAAGGATATAAAGTGTAAAACCAATTTATTTAAAAAATTTTCAAAATAAAACACTTTTAAATACTAAATGACCTTTATTTATTTATTTTTAACTAAAAAACCAAAGTCAAGTGTAGCAGAGCAACATTATGCTTGTTTGTTTTTGTAAACCAACAATGCTGTGTAGTGCAAAACCATTATTTCAAACAGTCATTCTTTAAATGACTTTAACAGTCATTATTTAAAACAGTCAAAATATGGTCAACCATTTGGTAGATCAGGCAGTTAAAAGGTTAATGAAGTTTCAGACCATGTCAGTAAGAACTTAGGTCTTTTTAAGATGAATTTTACCTCAGATTTGTTAACAAAGTCACAATTCGAAACCGTATTTGCAAAATGCTCTAAAATAATAGGAAAATGTTAAAGACAAAAAACTACATTGGAGCTGACAGTAATGTCACACCACTCAAGTATGAGTAGGTGTTTTTTGTTGGGTGTTCACTATTGCAGGACATTGCAACATTGTAACACTTTATACCAGAACAAAACAAGAAAAAAGTCGTTTGTGACCCCTTTATTATTTTTTCCAAAATGGATTTGAATGAATTGCTTTACATCAGCTTTAATCAGTTTAGCATTTTCTTGATAATTAAAGTTACTAATTTCTTGCACAAAAATAAATAAATAAAAATCAACAATAAAAAAGGTGTCGATCTCTAACTTTGGAAAAGTATTGTGCAGTAAACAAATACAGCAGTGAATCATACAAATAATAGACATACAAACAAATAAAAACACCACAAAATGTTTAACAAAAACTAAACAATAAAAACCATCTGTGGGAAAAAAAAGTTGCAATTTATTGAATCAATTGAGATTTATTTAGATATCAAAATATTTATATTTATTATTCATGTACATATGAAGAGTTCAGATGCAAAAACCTCTAAATGCCGTCTAAAATTTCTATTGAAAACTAACATTTTTATCAGCCTCCTTTGTTTATGTTGAGTTATTCCACTTTGAAGACCACGAAAAGGACTTATTCTTTGCCATGAAAGTGATATTACTAAACCTTCACACAGGAGCCTAATAAAAATGCTTATTTTAAAGGAACATTTCAGATTGCATTTAAAGGTTTTTGCATCTGAACTCTTCGAATATATATATATATATATATATATATATATATATATATATATATATATATATATATATATATATATATATATATATTTTTATTTTTTTTTTTTTTAAGAAATGAATAATAAATTGTGCTTTTAATTTACATCACTCTTCGATCAGAAAAAAGGCACAAAATTTGTCATTGGTGTGGCACACATTTGTACCCTATTAACCTATGGATGTTTCCATCTTAATGGTACATTCTTGTATCTAAACTGAACATTTTAACACCTACATGATACATATCAGTACCACTTGAAGTGTTACCATCCCAGCTTTTGTACCTTTTGTTCAGAGAGTGTGAAATGAAGAAAGAAAGAAAGAAAAAAAAAAGAAAAAAAAAGGAGACTGATGGATTACCCCATCACACATATCACTCACATGAAACGTCTAAAAGAGCTCAAACTGAACACACATTCAACCGAACAACATGCACAAACAGGAAAGCTGATTCTTGCACAACTGAACAGGCTTATTATGTCCTTTGGCATTCTTGAAAACACCAGGCAACCGCCAAGGTGAATCATGCCCGGTTCCAGCTGACAGAGCAAACACTAGAAGCCCATTCAAAAAAAAAAAAAAAAAACAGAGATGCAGCTGAACTCAGAATTCGGGTCAGCGACTCGACAGCAAGAGTGTCTTGCTCTGGCACACTTAACGGTTCTTGCCGGCGTGTGCGTTTGTGTTTGTTTGCAGAGTAGCCCAGAGCCTCAGTACATTACAGCAGCAGGCGAGAGGCCTCAGGCAAGAGTGTTACGCGTGAACAAGAACAGACAGTCTTAGCAGTGCAGAGTCGTAACGAGATTAGAATCTGAAAATACTCGGCCTCTCCGCCAATCACACGGCAGCAGGGGAATTAGCACGCTCTAGCCAGGGCCCGCAACTAACCAGCAAACCCCTCCGGTCAACAGGAAACAGCTAATTAATGAGGAGGAGCAGAGCCGGGGCTGGAAGTCTCATTCCTGCATGGACAGTCTGAGGCGTCTGTGTCAATCAATTATCAGTAAAGGTCACCTGAGTTGAAATGCACAACTTTTTAATGTACATTAAAACATAAAGAACAGGTGGGATTTAAATGCAGTGTCCCAATTCACCTACTAATAGGCCTTAAAAGTATGTACTTCTTTGATTAAAAAAAAGTATACTTCTTAGTGTGTAACAAGACTAAGCAAACTTTGGAATGTACTACCTCCTTAACAAACTTGTGTGCCTTAGTCATCTTTTCATTTTATTTCATATTCATTTTATTTATTATCTTTTCATTAAGTTTATTTGTATATCTTGACTAAAAGTACATAATTTTTTTTTTTACTTAAAATACAAATTAAATCAAAACTAACTATGTGATTTTGTTAGCTCAGATTGCTAGTTTTGTGGTGAACAACAACAACAAAAAAATGTTTCCCTTAGTAATTTTTGATTGAAATATAAAAATGCACTTGCTGTTTTTTTCCCGGGTAAAGTCTATATACGATACAGCTTTGGATCCGTACATCGATATTCACCTTATTCTTTGTGTATAAATCTTTTTGGCTCGTGACTTCCAGTCTCATTAACTTCTATTGATTTTTAAACGTTAAAAACAGCTTGTTATGCTGCTTGATGTCGCAAACTGACATGTTCTTATTAAATGATTCTGCTGTTTGTGTAATCATGGAAACACTAGTTTGTAGAGCAAGTAGTGCTGTTTCTGCAATTAACTATTTTTCTGTCGTTTACTATTCCTAGTCAACTGAATCGGAAGTTCTAAAACAATCGCAGAAATTAGCACAATTCCGCGTTGAAGAATAAGGGCAATAGCATTATTTTCGTAACACTGTATAAAATTAATTACTATTTTTACATTACTATGACTGTTGGGGTGGAAATAGGTGTTAATAATATACAATTTACTAGGTAATTTAATAAATAAATGATACTCGGTACCACTTAATAAATAATTCTAGTTAACTTTGGGCCACAACCATATCTGATCTAGCAACAACCTTTTTTCAGTTAAATTGTCAGATTACACGTCCTAGGTATTTGGTTTTGGTTAACCTACATAACCATGCCACTCCAACGGTCCATTTTGACCACACACAGAAATGGTGAGAAGGAGGAGTCTGTTAGGTTGTAAGAACACTTCTAAAACCCTTTTCCCCAGCTTTCTAAATAAAACACCAAATTTACTACATCTAATCGGCTCGCAGTAGAAAAACTACGCGCCACGCCCACTGTTTGCTCATTTAATATTACTCTAGGACAGGCGTGACCAAGCCTGTTCCTGGCGATCGACCTTCCTGCAGATTTCAGTTGCAACCCATTTCAAACACACCTGCCTGTAATTTTCAAGTGCTATTCAGAACCTAATTAATTGCTTTAGGTGTGTTTGATCAGGGTTGGAGCTGAACCTTGCAGGAAGGTCGATCTTCAGGAAGAGGGTTGAGCACCACTGCTCTAGGAGCTGCGTCACAATATGAAAAAAATATGGTTGGAGCTTTTGGTTTATGTTAAAATCAGTATGAACCAGAGGTTGCTAGGACTTTGTTGTTGTATGTTGATGTACTTTCAACGGAAACTTAATACTGAGTAGGGGGCGGGGTTTTCTTTGTACACATCATTCACTTGTAGAAAACTAAGGATAAGAGGGGCGTGGTTAAGAATTTTGTGTCTGAAGCATCAAACTGACATCAATAGTCAGTGAAAATCTAATAGACATATAAGAATAGCCTAAAACTAGACTAGTGGTCAAATAGACAGACTTTATATGTGTAGTCATTCATGTCTGTTTATTTGATGACTAGTCTAGTTTTGGCCTATTGGCCTATCTATTAGACATCTTTTAGAAACAAAAATGCTTGCTGGGAACACCGCTTTATTCGCATGTCTTTTATGCAATATTCCAGTTTTGCTCGTAAATGTAGTTCACATTTTTGGGTGGAAACAGCAAATGTGCGCTAGCAAAATAAACATAGTAAATCCTGATTTCACATAAACTTTCATTTCCTACCATACTGAAGAAGCCACAGCAGGTTAATCTGCCATTCGCTTTTCTTTCATGCAGAGAAATCTCCTCAGGTGTTAGCATAATTATGCATTCAAACGTTAATGACCATACAGGACTTAATAAAAGGTTCACGTAGTTGCAGATGAAAACATAAACAAATATTTTCCAGTAGGTCAGATATTAATTAACAATCATTCAAACATCTATTCAAAGACTTTGCACTTGACTGTCAGCCTCATGTTTCTGCCATGTTTATAGCTTGGAAACACTTCTTACTCACATCTGCACCTCCAATTGAATCGTATGCCTAACTAATTCTGTTATCAAATACTTGCATGGATAGTATGTGAATTGGCATGCAGCAAGAGTAGCCCCTCCCCTTTTAAAAAATAGTCAATAGCATTTTGCTAACATCACAGC